TGGACGACTCGTCCGAGCATCTTGAGTCGGAATCTGAGGACGTTGTCCTCGGCTCTGATTTCTCTCAGCTCGTGGCCCGGGCGATGCCGCCCATCCTTGATCATTTTGGGGTCTCTTTTGAGACTGTGCCGGAGTGGTTTGGGGGCGGGTCTGTGGGGGCCACCGGCTCCTGCGCGTCCCACCCACCCTGTCCTGGTTGTTGGACTCCACCCGGACCTCATTGTTCGCCTAAATTCCCAAGCGAAATCCAAGTCGGTTGCCGCGCCGCGGCGTCTTATGGCTGCTTTTCCGGTCCCCGAGGACCAGTTCAAGCAGTTCATTCAGGCGCCGCCCATTCCTCGCGCTGCCAAGGGCAGACTGCGGGAGGATCAGAAGCTCTCTTCTACTTCTAAGGCTTTGTTTTCTAACAAAGCTCAGGGCGCGGCTGAGGAGGCTTTGGCCTTTGTGGACCACGCGACTCGGGAGGGCATTCGCGCCGTGAATGGGGCGGGGTTTGCTTTGTCCTTCTTGTCTGATGCTGACGCTAACCCAACTCTCGTCCCGGACGCCATTGGCCTCCTTCGGGCGGGCATTGGCCTTATTTAGGACCAGTTTAGTTCCATTGCCCAGGCTGCCGGCACGGCCCGGAGGGCTAATGTGCTCCGGGCGACGTTGGTCAGCCCCGGTCACTTTGACCGGTTTTTAGACTGCCCCTCTTTTGGGGCAGAGGACCTCTTCTTTGGCCAGTTCGCGGCCAAAGAAGAGGCTTGGGCTAGGGAGTTGGAAGCGCGGCGTCAGACTAGGGCTAAGTTCCCGCGCTGTGACCGCCGTTCAGCGTGTTCCCAGCGCTGGGCGTTCGCGAGGCCGTCACATCAGCCCCAGCAGCAACAGCCTCTGTTGCATCCCTCCCGCAGCCCGCAGCCGCTGTCCCTCCTGCTCCTGCCACCAATCGACAATTCGCCCGGGCTGCTCCCTCAGCCGACAGGGCACGGCGTCGGCGGCGGGGGAGGGGTGGGCCTCGTTTCTGATGTTCATGGTGGGGGGCCCGGTTCCTGAGTAGAAGGAGGGACCGGCCCGGTAGGGGGGAGGCTGATGCTTTTCACCCACGAATGGGAACGGCTGTCTCCGGACAGCTGGATCATGCAGACTATATCCCGTGGGTACCAGATAGAGTTTACTTCCCCTCCGGTTGCGTACGGAGGGATGAACACGCCCATTCCAGCCTCCCCCGAGAAGAGGGAAGCCCTGTTTTCAGGGGTGAACGACCTTCTTTTGAAAGGGGCTGTAGTCGAAGGTTTTCCGACTACCGAAGACAAGGGGTTGTTTCCACACTCTTCCTGACAGAAAAATCGTCAGGCGGCGACTGAACCAATGGATCAGACCGCAAAATTTCCGCATGGACACTCTCGCTCTTATTCTCCAGGAGCCCATGCCCAGGGACTGGGCCGCTACTATAGACCTCAAGGATGCTTACTTTCACGTGCCTATTTTCCCAGATCGCAAATTGCTGCGTTTCCGTCTGACTGGTCGTACGTATTAGTTCAAAGTTCTTCCCTTCGGTCTATCCACGGCTCCTCGGGTGTTTACACGGGTGGTAAAATCCCTAGGTGCAGTGTTCCACGCGAGAGGGATACGTATTTTCATGTACCTAGACGACTGGCTCGTGGTCGCAAATTCCCGAGCAACTCTGTTGCATCATCTCAGCATTGTCTTAGACATGACGGAATCTGTAGGGTTCATTATCAACCGGGAGAAATCGGTTTTGGTTCCCACGCAACTTCCGCTGTATCTGGGGGCGCACATCGATCTTGTTCGTTCAGTGGCGTTCCCCTCCACGGGTCGGATCCGCAAGTGCCAGCTAGCAATCACTCAGCTTCTTTCCCTTCCGCATTCCCCAGCCGAGTCGTGGCTGCGGAAGTTGGGTTTCTTGCGAGCCTGGTAGACCTAGTTCCTTATTGCCGGCTTCGTATGTGCCCTCTTCAACTGCATCTGCTCGCGTCTTTTTCTCCACCGTCTCGGGACTTGTCAGCTCAGATTCCCTTGAACGCATTTGTCGCCAGGCACCTCCGGTGGTGGCTTCAGAAGAACGTGCTTCAGGGCGGGAAGTCTTTCCCCGACCCTCTCCCCGTCTTTCGCTTTTCGGCCGACGCCTCCCTCGGGGGTTGGGGCGGTTGTTCGCTGACGGAGCGCGTCGCGGGGGACTGTCATGCCATGTAAATTGCTTTGTGATTAACGTGTTAGGTATTGTGAACATTTTGAGTATACATATTGCATTGTGATGCGTAATTTGTGTTTATACACAAAGTGTTAAGTTATAGCAGTGGTTTGTTAAGTGACTGGTTTCTCCACTTGATGTGGAGGGCTTCTTTAATTTTCAATTGGTAACCTGTATTTGCCTGACCTATTATTTTATAGCAAGTTTTGTTGCTGTGTGTTTTACAGTTCTCATGTTTTCTTGCTAAATGTTTGTAAACATATGAGTTTTTGTCACTTTTCAAATGTTCTTCAATCCTAGCTGAAAAATGTCAGGAAGTTTTGCCAATATACATTAGAGCCCGCCACATATGTATTAGTAAACAACATTGGATTTAACATCATTTGAAATTGGATTTTTATTACTAAAAAAATAACCGATTTTTGTTGTACTGAATACAACATTCACATTTAAGTTACAACCAATATTTCTTAAACGTATCTTGATTTCCGACCGTATACTTTAAAGTAATAATAATAATAATAATAATAAGGGTAGTTTAAAGTAATAATAATGATAATAAGGGAATAATTATATTAATAATGATAATGTTAAATTTATATAGCGCATAATACCGGACCTTCTTTGCACTTTACATAAACAGAAAAGAGTGAAAAATTTAAAGAGAACAAGAACAAGAAATAACCTAAAATAGCCAAGACAGTCATGAACAGTAAAAACCATGTCCACCGGTTCTTTAAGGTGCAAGACAGGCCAGTACATTATTTACAGCCATAATGGTGTGGTTTTGTAGCTGCCTAGTACAAAAATCTAAATATAAACTAAAAATTATCAGGGGGAAAAAGGAAAAGAAATTAATGAATAAATATGGACCACACTAGAAATCAGTCTTTTTTTTTAAGGTTCACACCAAAAAATCCAATCAATCTAGTTATTGTTTTTTTGTTAAATTCAGACAAGTGTGATGTGCCTGATGTGATGAAACCACAGTTCAAGCAGGATTGCCGTGTCCCATACAGTTACGGAGATGAAGAGGTTGCAAACTTTCAGCAAGGCTGGAAACCTATCACAAATGAATCCTGTAAAGTTAGACTTGTTGTTTTTTTTTCATTCTTTGTTGGATTACTCTGACTTGTTATTATTTATTTGTTAGATGGGTCATGAATAATGCCACCAAACTTTCAAATAAGTAAAAACACCACAAGGTATTTAATAAAACAAACAACTGTCTTTAATCGTGATCATGATCGCTGGCTCAATAGTGAGCCCGATTGTGTAGCAGTAGCAGACTGTTATCATCAGCGCAAACGTAACACATTTTGCCAGAGCTTATATGAATTAGAGCATGTATTTAAAGGCGTAAAACAGTAGTGTCTGATGAAGCAAAACTGAGCCCGTGATCATGTTCATGATTAAAGATGGTCGTTAGTTTTATTAAATGCATCATGGTGTTTATTTATTTATATATTATTTATTTCCAAGAATATACCAATAGTGAACATAATCACTAAGGGGCAATTCTTTACACGCAAACATGATGCTTTACATAAACTAAGCTATTAAGTCTTAGGAAGTGGAGTTGTTTTTGTTTGTGAAAAAAAAAATTTTGTTTAACCGTAACAGGATTTGAACCCATGAGCCTAGGATTCGAAAGCAAGCATCCTAACCACCAAGCTATTCTACACCACTGTGTCTTATTAATAAAATACTAATTATTGATATATTGTTTATGTATGTTATTATAAGAATAACAATCATTTTTAGTTTCTATGAATTTATTGTAATTTTTAAGCAGATCAGAAAAAATATTGATAAAATTATCGTTCAAGAAAAATACATTTAAACTATTATTGTATATATAAAAATGATTATCTAAAATATTATTTTTAGTGACACCTAACTATGATGAAAACATGGAAATTGGATCCTGGAAATATCATTATTGGTACGACCTGAAAAAGCTTCCGTTCTGGGGAAACGTGGCTTGGTACAGTGGTGGAGGCTACATTGCTCAGCTTGGCTCGACGCTCGATGAAGGACTTGCTTTCACCAATTACTTGAGAGAAACGGACTGGCTAGACCAGTACACAAGAGCTATCTTCATCGAGTTTGCTGTCTACAATCCTGCAATGGATTTCTACACTATCTCATACCTTATGGCTGACTTTCTGCCGCAAGGAGGTAAAAATAGCATTGCCAGGTTTCGAGTTGTGAAAAGGCTACTAGCTATACAAACCAACATAACTCTCTATACAGAAAAAAAATGAATTGATCAAATTGTTTCAAAAGCTGATTTAATTAAAGGAATTAATTACAAAACATCTCAAATATTTTTCATATCTTGAAGCTATTGTAAAAAATATAATACCTGGACAATTTGGGAGACCAGTACTTTTGTATTGAAAAATGTATCCTGTCGAAGGAATAAATAAATAAATAAATATAAAAATACAAATACGGTTATTATGTTAACATTGTGAATGCCAGTTTAAAGATACAGTCTTACCAGGGAGTTGTTGGTCTTACTTACATTTTAAGTTCGACAATAGTCCTCTTGCACACTCGATGTTCATTGCTTATGTTAACTTGTCAGAACTTAATGCATTTATTACAATTGCCTTCTTGCCTTTAAAATTGTTGAAATCACTAAATCATTATTTCATATTTATATTTAATTTTAACTGAAAATGTAAGTCTTCACAAAATCTTATTATTGTTACACTCTACTGTCTTATATTGGCGACCACATTCAATTTGCACAGTACCTATCATTTTACACATCTGCATTGGTATAGATAAAATAATTTATTTGGAATCTTCACTTTTATAAAATTGGCACACTTCCTCTTGTGAAGGTGTGTACAAAAAGAAAACAAAGTGATTAAGGCAAACTAGAAAATAAGTGACATAGACATAAAAGTAATTACTGTAATCAATTCTGATTCTCTTTCTCTTGGTATTTTTATTTTTCTTGGAAAAATTAGGGAGCAATTTTTACTTATGCAATTAAATCCTGTGAAATAGTCTTTACAGTAATTATTTTTAATTTTAAATCGTCGTTTATATTGTATGTTTCCTATTTTGTTATTGTAAGTTTTCTGTTAACAAAAATAAATAAAAATGGAATATAAAATGAAAATGAAATATTAAAATAATCTTTTCGTTTGTATATAGGTATGATGGGATATGTGGACTTTCAAGTGACCAGTCTGAAAACCATATACAACCTAAATTTCATGGGATACGTCATGCTGTCCCTGGAGGCCATCTTCCTACTGTTTGTTTTATTCTTTACATACACGGAACTCAAAAAATTCTTGAAGCTGCGGAGGAAGTATTTCAAAGAGAAGGAGAATATTGTAGATTTGATAACGTTGGCTATTGCAATAACCGCCGTATGTATGTATTTCTATTGTTTGTTTGAGAGCATGTCACTGATATCTGAGCGCGAACAAGCACCAACAGAGTTGCTGAATTTCCAGTATGTGGTACAGTGGGAGACAGTAAGTAAATGTTTAATAGTGAATTGAGGAGGTGCAAGAGTTTGCACACCATCAGTGTAGCCAGGATTTCAAAATAGATGGGCCCGGGGTGGGGGGGGGGGGACTTTCACAGATGGAGGGTCTAAACCACCTCAGCCCCAAGAAACTTTATGATTATGGCACCTCTAGATGGCTGGAAATGGCACTATCAGACTTCAATTTTAATATCATTTCCTTTTTTTTCTCCATTTGAATTGATTCGATTTCCACCTTGACTATTACTACTACTACTACTACTACTACTAACTAATAATAATAATAATTATTATTATTATTATTATATAGTATTTTTCATATAATATGTATTAATAATTTATTCTGTTAATAATTGCTAATGATGATTTTGTTTTATTGGTTTTACTAATGTAGTACGTCTATTTTGTAATTTATTCGTTTCATTTTTTACTAACATCATTTGAATATTTTCGGACATAAATTATTTTCGTATTTTTAACATATAATATTTATTTGTCAGGATTAGTCGTTACGGTTTTTATAAGTAAGCCAGTAGACTTGAATGTTGCCAGTTTTAATTAAATGCACCTGAATAAATCCGTAATATTCATTTATGTTATTTTGTTTTATATTCATAAAAAATATATCTGTATGTTTCCTAATTTCATGATTCAAAAACGTGGAAATAGCATTGCAGTACCTGCTGCTACTTGTGGATCGGATTCAACACTAGACTAAGCGCTAGCTCAGTGGTCTAATGGTCATGACCCCAGCCTAATTGTCTTGAGGTCATGGGTTCAATTTCCGATTTTTTTGCGCAAGTACTGTATTGTAAAAAAGTACTGAATTTGTATTTGGAAACATACTGAGTATTCAGTATAATAGCATGTAAGGTAGTGCAAAAAACATCACTCCTATGTTAACTAATATTATATGAAAAGAAAATTTTTCTTTGGAAAGTGAATACAAAACGAAAAAACAAAAACAAAATTAATCATAGTAGGAAAAAACGCCCCAATCAGCTTTATTGATATCGATGTGTTTTCACTATATTTTTTTTATAGTTCTTTTACAAACTTATAATTTGCTGAAGATGCTATTAGTAGCCCAAATTGAAATGATACCGGCATATTGTCTTTACAGAAACTATATTTCTTTGTTTTTAGTATTTTACGTGGATGATGAGTTTCGTGCTATTTGTGTATACCATAAAATTTTTAAAACTCCTCCGGTTTAATTATCGGCTGCGGTTGTTCTGCGAAACGGTGATGTTTTGCTGGTATGAGGTACTGCTGTTTCTTATCATGTTTGGCGTCATCTTCATCGCGTACACCTGTTGCGGATACCTGTTATTCAGCCAATCTCTCATTGAGTACGTTACCATGGTTACAACTATGGAATCATTGTTTTCATTCCTGCTTGGTAAGGCAATGTTATTTTGGATGTAAAATGTGCTATGTATTCATTTGTCTTATTTCATTATTGTCCTGTATGATAGTGACAGTGGTGCAGCTATTTGGTTCACCTCAAAATTTATAGATTTCGAAAGCACTATTCTGTGAATGACAATAATAATGTCAAAATTTAAAGATTTCGAAAGCACTATCCTCTGAATGAAAATAATAATGTGTGCTAAATGTCTTGTAACACCACCAATAACTATAAGTTCTCAGCAAGCGAGAAGATTTGTATAAAGTAGGAGCTATAGCTTCTAATAAATAAACAGGGCCTAATTATGTAATTAATAGATTACGTTTTACTAAAGGCCTAATCAATATTATAATTTCAAGATTAATTTATTGATAAAACGAAACATGAAATGAGGCATGTCGTGGCAAAATGGTTAAGTTGTCGCACAGACCAGTATTGAGTAAAGGAGCTATAAAATATGGTAGCTCAAAAAATTGCCTAAAAATCCAATTTTTTTTTTCATTATAGATCAACAGTTTAATGTCTTACTAATCATGTCCCAAAGTATTAGTTCTGGAAGTGATCAACAAATCGTTTATTTAATGTTATTTAGATAGTTAATTCTATTAAACAATGTATGCACAAATAACTTTGGAAGGCAGTTACTCAAAATCATGTTTATCTTGACTCTAAGAGTGCTGTAATTTCACTTTCCAATAACTTAGGCTTGAAATGTCCAATTTCAATGAATAACCCCCTCATTTTAAAGATCACATACCGGTACTCAGGTATCAGAAAATACTAATAACTTGAATTTCAATTTTTGCTACAACTTAGCCATTTTGCCACAACGTGATGAATCATAAATAAGTCAGTCTTCCAGTTTTTCCTTACTTTATTGATCACTGTAGTTTCATACGTTGATAGTTTTGAAAATACAATATCCTTATCTTATTAGATGTTATTGATTTCTTCAAATGTTCAATACAGTAACCCACATGCCAACAAATATTCACAATAACTAACTTTTCTTATTTTTCACCAAGATAATTTTGGCATTGTTTAATGGAAAGTTAATTACAGTCTCTCAATATAATCAGATGCGCCTTGTATAAGGCAACTTGCGGTTGATTTACAGAGATCAATTAATCAATAAGTAAAAATTACTGTCTACTTTCCAAGGTGAATTGTTTGTTCATTCATGGATGCATTATTACCCCTGTGTTCCAACCGAATGTAATTGAATTAGTCAATTCCAATGACCCAGAATTTTGCTATAGTTAGATAATTTATTTCACAATAACTACATACCACTAAGTTAGCCATTTTGTTCATTTTAATAAAATACCAAGTTCATGCTTGGTGTAACGCATATAAAAATACCTATGTGTACTACTTTTTTTAGATTTAGATTAAACTATAAATTTAAACTGCATTAGTCACAAAATGACAGCAGTTTTCCATTAAAAAATAATTTCACAAATTAAGCAGTGTAAGTATTGAAATTGTGTTGTTTGACGAAACACAGACAGATTACCTTTTCTCATTACATTTATTCGCCTCATAAAAACAGCAAAAAATGCAACGATTTTAATACAATTACTTTCTAATGTATGTGCAATTTTTAATATTTATCTTTTTATATTATCCAAATGATGTTACTTCTTTTGTAATAAAATTAAATTGAATTGAATTGAGACAGGAAATCCAAAAAGAGAACTGACTCAATCAGCAAGTGGATTACCTAAAAAATAGACGAAGACAATATAGCTCAAAAATAAACTTGTTAATAATAATTCGATGCAATTAACAATTATACCCGACAAAACAAAACAATATATATATATATATATGTATATATA